TCGTAGGGGGCAACGAAAATGGAAGCCTCGAATCTTACAGAGTAAGTTCGCGAGTTCCACGGGATTCGGAACCGAGAATGACTGCGCTGGCGAAGGTCACCAGTAATTGTAAACATCCGACACGTACTGTCGTCAGAGAGAGCGCCCCACATAAAAAACCGGCAACTGTCTGACAGTAAAAAAAATCTATTCGTAAGCCCCAGATCCGTTCTTTATTCCAAGACAGACTTGCCGACTGACCGTCGGTCGTAACATAAGACTCAGACTCAGTCAGAGACAATTAGTAACATAGGTGTGATCTGCTCTGCAAAGCCTGTACTGATAGAGGACTTGTGTGTAGTGCAAAAGGAAGAATTTTCAGTAACATGCTCTGTGTGCGAAATGTACATTTGACGAAACGCCAAGCGCATTCGTAAGACAACCCCATTTTTTCGTCAGAGAGGATATTACTTAAGGACTATTATTGCAAGAGTTCGGTTGGAAAATAAAACTACTGGTCGTGAGTCTCAAGGGTCTTGTCGCTAAGAAGAACTGATTGGCGGTAAACCGCCAGTCGTAAAGTAACTCTGACTGTGACTGATTCAGCAGTAAGACAGTTCAGCGTTCAACTGTTGAGTACTAACCAGCGGACAGCGGGAGCTGAAGACTCGTAAATCAGAACCAAGTCAGTCGCGCAGAAGGGAAGACGCTCGTAGTCCAGTAAGGAATGGAGCGATTCTGAGACACTGATTGTGACGTGTCATAATTGACCGTAATTGTAAAAAAGTGTCACTAAATCCAGTGATATAATCCAGAACCCGTTATATTCGTCTAGGAACCCCGGACACGTGATAGCTGACCCTTATGTCCGACTGCGTGATGCGTGTGTAATCCAGTGAAGCACGTGGGAGTGTGCCGGTGATGCTTGTACTCAGTCATGTGTTACAAAGCGAAACCGCTCAAGTTGCCTCTAAGCTTTTGTGGGCTGTGCTGGTGCTCGCCTGGCAGAAATTATAAAAACAATTAGAATCTGCCAAGAGATTCATTTTGCAGACCATCGCTTTGACTGGGAGCTCTTTAGAGATATGCCTTACTCCCGGTCACTTGTTGATTATATACAGCTTGACATTAATGAAATTGGCTACGGAAATCTCCTACCCCACTACCTCCTTTAAATATCATAAATACAAAATACGCTTAAATACAGATGAAATAAAACCAGTTATCTCCTTGATATTAGGAGTAGAAAATTTTTTAACATCACTCAAAAACATTCCGACAAATAGCGACTGATCTATAGGTGCTCGCCGTATGCACATGAGTAGGGCCCCATGAGACTGGAGCCCNCCCAGGAGACGTGAGCCCCCCCCCCCCCAAGTTTAAAAATTAAAAAAAAAATAATTGTTTGAAGTTCCTGCAGACTTCAAACAGGAAACGAGATAATTGTTTTAGATTATCATTTCAAAGTCACTAATGAAAACTGGTACGCTTTTATTAGTACTGGCTAATTGTCGAATGTCCTTCTGATTCAATTTTCTTTATTATTTGTGTGCTTTATTTATTGTCTTCCTATGTTCAAAACTGGGGGTCGCAGAACAATGTTAGCTCCTTGAAGCATGAAACTCATCTGAATGATATATAAAAATTAAATACTTACTTCACAGATGATTACTATCACCAGAAAGTCAAAGCTGTTCAGGAAAAACAGGCTGTTTAATTTTGATTATCATATGAAACCCATAAATGCACACTATGGGCAGGGAGCGCTGTGAATGTTAAAGCATATGGTACACAGAACAACCACTTTGTTTCAAAGAATCACTTAAAGTCTGCAGAACACACGTAAATAAAAGAAATGTGGTAATTAATATCAGAAAATAACACAACAGCCGAGCCCAATCTATAATGTAATATAGTATGTATATATTCTCTATAGAAATTCCATTCAAAAGAAAATTTTCCTTCATCGATTATTGTTTTTGAATTGCAACTGGACTGCCGTAAGTCTGTCTTCTCTGCTCCTGAAGCAGGAACACACAGGTCCTCTCACCACGCCAAGGTTGCAGTCCAAGGAGAGAGATTGCCACTCCCTGTCTACTCAACAGTCATTCCACATCCTCTTGTATCTAAACCTAATTCCATTACTTCCATTTAGGCAAACGCCAAAATTATAGAGCAGAACTGTATTCGTAAGAGAGTGTGTGTCAATTGTCTGGTCGCTCAGAGACAATTCTGTGTTTGGTACGCGTCGATGTGTTACCGATAGCTGTGGATCCGTCCGTGAATGGAATAGCTCACAGGGGAACGCGGAACGTGAAGCTTTACATCCCATTGGTTCTTATCTCACAGAAAACTCAGTACAACAGCCGTTCCCAGTCATCACTGCACTGTAACGTACCTCGGGAACGTAAAACTCTGTCTAAAACTTCCATTTCGAAATATTTTTTCCTTAATGAATTAATTTTCCATCTTTTATCTCCCAAAAAAGGCAGTACAAAATGTGTCCATCGTGAGAGATATTTCACTGCCTCTGTTTGATATTGACCTATGTTTGTTTTGCAGTCTAGCGGCGACTTAACAGAGTTACTTTTCCATAACCGAAATAATGTCTCTACACCTCAACCCTACGTATATTTAAAAATTTTGAACAAAATCCGTTAGAACTTAAAACTGAACATTAAACATTAACACCCCTCGTTATATGGTTTCTCATTCATCTAGTAAAATTAATAACACAACAATGTATTATAGTGCGGGCAGTTAAAATCTGAATGCGTGTACGTACACAGCATGCACCATAATTTCAGTACCGAAACTCGCGCATCTCGAACGTTCATGTGCGTTTGTCGACGGGGTATAGCTCCAGCCGCACGTGTTCCCAGTAGTGAAAATGAAGTTGTGATGTGCAGGTGTTGGAAAGGGGTCTCTCGGCAGCGGAAAATGTATTCATAGTTAAGTATTATTTCCGCTCATACGGAAGTGGTCGCCAGACAACTCGCTTCTTGGTTTTGAGAGGCCAGATATTTTCTTCCAGAAACCGCTACACAGTACACGTATGACGATATGCTGTGCCGTCTCAGCACACGGTATATTAGGCCCTTATTTCATTGAGGATGAGGAGGGCAATGCTCTTACCGTCACCCAAGAACGCTACAGGGACATGGTGATCGGACCATTTCTTCAGGATCTGAGAAGGTTCTGTCGTGCAAGGGGCCTTCACATGAATAGACAGTGGTCTCAACAGGACGTCTTTTCATTTCAGTACTGTTGATTTTGGCGCATTCTGTATTTCGCAGAATACAGTCTACAGTATATACCACAGGATGTAGCTCGCCTTAATACGAAGCGTTTTCCACTGGGCTGAGTCCTTCCAAATAAAATTATCAGTTATTCAGCCACTCAAGAAAATCCCAGTATTTTATGCAGCTCAAAAGTTCATTACCCGCTACTCGTCCTTATCTTGAACCTGATGAATCCAGTCTGAACACCCCCATCCTATTTCTCAATGAACTGTTTTAATATTATCATCCCATCTACTTCTAGATGTTCCTAATGTTATTAAGAATAATGAGCTCAATGCTATGCATTTAGCGAAATTGTGTTTCCACGCATCAACCCGTTTATTTAAGTTGAAGAACAGGGCCAAAAAAATGGCTGCGCGTAGGGCCCCTTGAACCACAAATCCGCCATTCCCCCCAGCGCTACTAATTCTGAGTTGCCTTCTTCCATTTTTCATTAATCATGCTCAATTCTTTATGATCCATTTTAAAACTGTCCTCCCATCTCCGTCTTGGAATTGCAGTTGGTCATTTTCCACCAAAGACCTGTAACCACCATCTCCTCTTATCGCAGCCACGTCACAGATGTTTGCATTTTCTGTGATATAATTACCCTTCGAAGACAAGAGCAAATTACTAAATCCGTGACAGAATTCTTCTTGAGAACCTAATAATCGTCCAGACCCTTTCATATAACTCGAAGTTTCAGTACCGTGTTCACAAAAGTCTGTAATTCAAGGCTCTGTGCAACACTTTGTAGCATGTTGATTTTCTTTACTGCGAGAAGCTATTAGCACCTGTCCAACCCATAAGCTGGAGGACTACATCTTAGCGGCTCTTGGCACCTGCGCAGCTGCCGTCCGTATCTGGAGACCGTCTCCATCCGCGAAAACGGAGGCTGCATGGGGACACGGAGTCATTTGTCATGGAAATCAGAAAATTCTTTATTAACTTATGTAGATCTATTTGCCTCTACCCAGTTTGTCTTCGCTTGGTTAGAGGATCCTCCTAATTTGCTTTCTTCCCGATAACGTATCACAGATATACAAAATGGCGAACATAAACGTCTTATTTATTCTAGCTGCTAAAGTTTCTGACGAAAACGGAAATGGACCTTCAGTGTAATTTGTTTGGGGTTTCCAGCCTACCATTCAGAAAAGCACAGCTAAAAGTTCCACGAGTTTACACGCTGTTCCTACTTTCCATTTTAACATCAACTAACAATAGATCACTGTGGTCGCGGTGCAAGGGCCAAGAAGGCCCACCCCTTATACATTCAACCTCATTCTTGAGGTCGCGCCATAGCTCAAGCGGTTAGTCGCTGGCTTCCCACCGCTGCGGCCCGGATTCGAAGACGGGTCTGGTCAAGTGGGATTTGTGATGGACAAAGTGGCGCTGGGGCAGGTTTTCTCCGAGTACTTCGGTTTCCCCTGCCAATCTTCATTCCACCAATTGCTCCACAATCACCCTCACCTATCATCTGGGGCTGGTACAATAGGCGAGAAGTGGTCGCAGTACAAGGGACTTAGCAATAAATAAAACAACTCATTCTTAACCAGGTTAATGTCCCGATATACCTTGAGTGTGCATTTTAAACACCGAATGTTCGAATTCAGGACATGCGGCTTTGTGCTATATGGACTTCTCCAGTGGCATGGCTTGCTGACTCGCAAGTAATGATGTTCGCTAGCGACTTGCCATGCATCGGTACAGTTGGCACAAGCGACCTCTCCGTAGCGTGTGTGAGAGAGTGGTCCAGTGGCTGTTCTGCTCTCCACGCTGTCAGACGCGTCGGAAAAATCTTTATTGGTATTTTTAATTTTGTATCATTTTTCGCGCTGTTGCTAAAAGCAAGTCGATAGAGTGACAGGAAGTACTGACAGTTCATAAACTTGTGGTGTTTATGGAGAAGCATCATTTATTTACGGAGTTACCTGCCTGATTAATTTCGTTACCTACAGACATGCCTGAAAAATTATCAGAGACGTAAGTTAATTACACATGTTTACATTTTAAAAACTGGGATATTCACTATTTATTAGTTATAGCTATGAAATGAAACGTTATAGTACGTGTTTCTCATTGAGTGTCATATTAACATAAAGTTTAGACCTAGAATCTCTCAAGATGCCTTAGAAAATGCGTTAAAAATATGCTCTGTTATGAATGACAAATTTTCCAAGTGCAGAAACTTTTTAAAATGTTTCTTCATCTTATGATATATGGAAATTATCTTAATATGCAACCTTTCCTCTTCCAAGGACGATCAACTACAAGTAACGTTTGTTTGTTTTAGACTGACGTACACACTTGTATTGCTGCACGTATATTTAGCGTATAATAGCGTGTGTCTGACGAGTACGTTTTAGGAAAATACGTTTGTATGTGGGACCGCAGGAGCTCAAACTTACATGCAGGAAATATTTTGTCTGGTGCTAGAAGCTCTTCTGAATATATTTACTTATAAGAGTTTAGATGACAGTGACATTTCTGTAAGTCGTACAAGGAACACGCGTAACTTCAATCCTAATTTCCTTTCATTTCCAGGTCGTGAGACATTTCAGGCACAAGTTACTTTAGTGAATTTAGTAAATTAATAAACTTTATTCTATATAAAACAGAAGTTAACAGTTGTCTCGGTGCTTAAAGCATTACAACATGAATTTGATAATTTAGATGTATGTTTATAGTTTCAAGCTATATCGAGACGACTAGCAAGCTTCACGTTTCGGTTGTTCGACCCTCGAATGTAGAGCAGTCGGTAACCATAAAGACAGACCTCAGAGCTGATATAGAAGTTGCGGTGAAAAGCAAGAGCTCTGTCTCACCGGGAATGGAACTCCGGCCGTCCAAGTCATTCTCACTCTGAGGCTGAACTACTTCGGTTTATCCATAATTTAATATTCATTTTTAAATTATATAAACACCATTTTAAACATTCACACCAATCTAGCTACAACATCTATTTCATTTAAGACTCTGATGAACAGAACATCTCTGTATACACGGAAGGCTTGTAAAAATTGTTATACGAAATGGTTCTTACAAGTTATGTACGGTACGTCAGCAGTTTGAGGGGCAACAAGATAAATTTAGAAACTTAGAGCATATGTAATTTGTGACCAGGCCCTTCAGGATCCAGAACATGTCAAATTCCCACAAAGAAATTATGCGTGGTTTTCATTTCACGTAACACTGCGGTACTGTAATATAAACTACACAAAATATTAATGGCTAAGCCCCATAAATTGTAAAACATAACTTTGTGCTCGAAGAGTCGAAAAAAATAGGGCTAAAAAGTAGAAAGGCAGGTTATAAACAGTTCTGGAAATTAAGGTCCAGTAGTTTTAAATAGCGGAACAGTCGAGCAATTAAAAGAAACATAATTTCAGTGCCGGCAATAAGCCTGTGTGGGAAGTGCAATAATGAGATAAATACTGCACATAAAGAGACTCACAGCAGTGCTTAGGTGTCATGAGAAACACGTGCCACAAGTCGAAGTAGTGCTTAGAACAGTGTTTGTAAGGTGTTACGTTTACAATCATTTAGGCTGTTAGCCGCGATTTCTTATAAATACAAGATCGTCTGTTGTGTCATACGTAAACGTCGAAACTTGAGCCTTATTTCGTCGTCGTCGCTACGTCTGCCTCTCCCACGCGAAAGTTTTTCTACAGTTCCCTGACCAGACGTTTACACACGTTCCATGTATAGCTCAGACTTCTTTCTTGTTTTAACCGCCATAACAATATCGGATTACACAATTTTGTCATTCGCCACATAACTGTAGGAGCTCACTACATGCAAGAAGCGCTCTTCGTTCCAGAGCTGTCGGAACTGAATTGAGCGAGGTAAGCTCCTAGCCTTCTCATGACACGAATGAATGGTTTTGTAGGGATTTTTTTCGTAAACACGTCGAATATGAAGTTCTCATGACGGTGACTGTGAACAGTGCGACCTTCTTGAGTTGCAATGCTGCGTAGTTCAGTGACAGCTGTCTCAGAAGCAGGCCCAGAACACTCTTGTTTCCTCGTATACATGTTACGACTGAGTACACGCACAGTAGAAATATTCATTTGTTCACTGCTGAGGTTTAATAACTTTTGAAGCAAAAACTCCTTTAATTTCAACAAACATGTACCTTCGGCCTAAACAATTCCTGCCCTTATGGAACCTTAAAGCACAAAACTGAAAAAGAAAGATCCCGCAATTAGACAACATTATAAGCCAGTTAAATCCAATACACATTAGTACAATCTATTTCTCGAAGATACATCTCATCACTGTCCTACTATCTGCATCTTGTTCATGCAAGAGTCAGTGCCCATTTTTTATAGGTTTCTGCATACACCCCTCCGGTCCCAATCCATTTTGTACTGTATAATTGCCATAAGAAAATTATTTCTTGTGAATATCAAATTAGATACTTACTGCATATCCTGGAGTTTACAGGAAGAATATGGATTGAGCGTCTTTGACAACGGAATATTCAGCAGAAAATATGGGAAACCGAGGAGGGAGGGAAGAATTAAATAAGTTTTTCATAATTTATGGGCTCTAGTGTCCACACAATATTTATTTGGGCGATTAAATCAAGAAGAATGAAGTAAGCAGGGCCTGGAGTGCGCATGCGTTAGATGAGAAATTGCTGTGAGAAAACTTTAGAGAAGAACAAGTAGTGAGATCTAGGCGTAGATGGAAAGATAAGGCAGACGATGTTGATTCGTCAGTTTCTTGTGAACATAGTAACGAACGCTCGGGTTCCACTAAATTGGGAAGTTTTTCGCTAGCTAGGATATTCGGTTTGTTGGTGTTTTGAAATATCGAAATTGTCAACAGCAACAAAAAATATATCCTCAACCATAGAGGAGTTAATTAGCAAGATAGTTACATTAAGACAATGCTATTGATGTCGAAGTTCCTCTAGACATAATTCCTCAGGATCCCCACGCTGTCTTTCTTGGAAATTTATCTTAGTACGTGTTTGTATGAATATGAGCTAAGGGAATTGTCTGAACGAAAATACTGCAAGAATGAAGTTGATGTTATTAGACATGACTTCATGCTATGTGCTTACTTTTTCAAGAAATTTGTGTCTACTCCAATGAAAGATGTTAAAAATATATCTTTTCTCTCAATAATATCCAAGAATTAGAAACGTTCATATACCCAGTCAACTGCACTCCACTCAGCCTCGTGAGGATAATTGAGGAGCTATTTCAAGGAAATAGCGGCTCCGGTCTAGAAAACCGAGATTAACGGGGGATTCGTTGCGCTGACCACGCGACACCATCTATCCGCTGAAGTTGGCACTAACTTCGGCGAGAAGCGGCGGTCGCTCCATCGGTATAGTTCGCTTGCGGACTCAAGCCACGGAGTTAATTTTAATGTCCGCAAGAGCAAACTCGCGAGTTTCGCTATCGAACTGGTTTCGAAATATTGTCATTTGTTTCTGGTGATATTTTATGGAATTGACACAAGACATTAAATCTTAGGATTACAAGTAAGTCAAACATTTCTGAATGGCTCTGGCGATAAAGTATTACACTTGACACCACCAGTTTTTTAGTCTTTAGCCATCATCGGGTATTCTAACAAAAACAACAAAAACGAAAATGTTTCGGAAGGTGTATTTGCCGCTATCTTCAGACTAGTATTACATACTCGGTTTGGCCTCACAGAAATAACTGATCCTTACTACTGTACTATTTCCTTCTGTTAGATTAAGGACAATCGTTAGGCCGATATTTCCGGAACTGTGCTGCTGTGAATCTTGCATTTCTATGGCGAGACTTCCTTGAGATTCCGTAGAAGATTTCGTAAACTGGTGGATTCGCTTTAGTTCCTTTAAGCAAGACGTCCATTCAAATAATATTTAGAGATTCAGATCCAACAGAAAACATATTGGGTTTTCATTACGAAGTTTAGCTAGCTAATGTTGCTTCAGAAAAATAACTATACAGATTGTTCCGCAAAGAATGTCGATGGCTTAACTATCTGTTCTCGGGATCACTTTTGTGGAAAATTTCGAATTACGTACATGGGGATATTCTGGTACGGGTTGTGAAGAAATTGAGAATAAGTATTCAATTGCATTTGTAATTGTTACTTTGCTTATATTTAATTTCAGGTTACATTATTATTGTTATTATTTAGACTTTACTATCGATTTCATTTTCAATTAATCACGTCATTCAAGTGACTCGAAACAACGACAGAGATTGTCAGAGAACAGCTGAGCCCTTCGCGTAACTGAAGTAACAGACCTCTTCACATTGCCATGCCCATTTTTATATGAGTACAGGATCCAGACTCAGCCCAACTGTTTGATTTTACGGCATGCACCAAGGATTTCATGTGATCCTAGAGAAAGTAGTCCAAAGGTGAAAGATCTGATGACCTCGCTGGCCAAGCAACTGGACCACCTCGGCTAATCGAATGGTCTGTAAAATGTTGACTCTGCAATCAAGCCACCTGCCTACCAAAATGAGGAGGTGCACCATCTTGTCGCAGCCATTTCTGTTGCCTAGTTAGCACGACATACTCCTCCAGTAACAATGGCATCTTTACCATCACTTACTACTGCCACTGGCACTGCCACTACTACTGCTACTACTACTACTACTACTACTACTACTACTACTACTACTACTACCACCACTACTACTACAGTATGCGTCAAAAGTTTCAGTACTGAAACTCGCGTATCTCGAACGCGCATTCGCGTTTGTCGACGGGGCATAGCTCCAGCCGCACGTGTTCCCAGTAGTGAAAAGGAAGTTGTGTTGTGCAGTTGTTGGAAATGGGTCTCTCAACGGAGGGAAAATTATTCATAGTTGAGTATTATTTCCGCCCATACGGAAGTGGTCGCCAGACAACTCGCTTCCTTGGTTTTGAGCGGCCACATGTTATCGTCCAGAAACCGCTACACAGTACACGTGTGACGACATGCTGTGCCGTCTCAGCACACGGTATATTAGGTCTCTATT